ACCGGAGAAAAACCAAAAAAAAAAAAAAAAAAAACCACTTGAAAAAAAAAAAAAAAATCATATACATGGGCTGGGGATTTAGCTCAGCGGCACAGCGCCTGCCTGGCAAGCGCAAGGTCGTGAGTTCAATTCCCAGTACCAGGAAAAAATAAATAAATAAAAATAAAATAAAATCATACACATGCAAGGGACTTAGGAAATTTAATTAAGAATGTTGAAACCAGAGAAATTACATTTTGAAAGAAAAGGATCTAGAGTTCTCTATCTTCACTCCCAACCCATTAAGCCATCCACTGTACTATATTTTGCTACATTTTTTTTATTTAATATTTTTTGGGGTGCTGTACTGGGGATTGAACCCAAAGCCTTCACATTGAGCTGTGTGTCCTCAGTCCTCTTTTAAATTGTGAGATGAGGTCTCATGAAATTGTCCAGGCTGGACCTGAACTCTTAATCCTCTTGCCTCAGCCTCCCAGAGTGCTGAGATTACAGGTGTGCCTCACCACAGCCAGCTTTTTGTTTCATCTTATTTTGAAAGGTATGATAAATGGACCAGAAAGGAATTTGGCGTTGAATTTCTGGAATGTAGATTCTTATGATTCTATTATATTACACTTAAAAATTAGAGTTAGGGGCTGAGGCTATAGCTCAGTGATAGGGTACTTACCTACTGTGTGCATGGCCCTGAATTTAATCTCTAGCACTAAAGGCTGGGGATTTAGCTCAGTGGCACAGCGCCTGCCTGGCAAGCGGAAGGTCGTGAGTTCGATTCCCGGTACTGGGGGGGGAAAAAAAAGCCAAAAAATAATAATAATAATAATCTCTAGCACTAAAAAAGCAAAAGTACATAAAGTAAAATAAAAATTGGCTTTGGGCTGGGGGAATAGCTCAGCAGTAGAGTGTTTGCCTGTCAGTATTGAGCCTCAGCACTGCAAAAAATAATAAAATAAAAATAAAGATTAGAGTTTTTATACAGTGGTAGTAATCTCCAACAATTTATCGTGGTTTTATTGCTTTTCCCCCTAGATTCCATGATGCTTTACAGCAGTTTCCTAAGTCTAGAATTTTCCATGTCTGTGGATCCCAGAATTTGCTGAGAGATGGAGAATCCTCAAAACAATGACCTGAACACCGTGGGTCCAGAGAGAGAAGACCCTCTCGGAAACACCAGCCCTCAGATTTCTGTCAGTGAATTCTCATGCCACTGCTGTTACGACATCCTGGTGAACCCCACCACCCTGAACTGCGGGCATAGCTTCTGCCGGCACTGCCTAGCTTTGTGGTGGGTATCATCGAAGAAAACAGAATGCCCGGAATGCAGGGAGAAATGGGAAGGCTTCCCCAAAGTCAACATTCTCCTCAGGTAATGCTGGGTCACATCCAAAGCACAGACAGCTTGTAAGGCCTGGTTTCTCTTAATGAGGGTAGTGGGTTTGTAAAGGCAGCAGAGCCAGACCTGGCCTCCTGGGTGATCATTCTGGACCTGCCAGAATATGAGTTGAGAAGTTTAGGGCCTGAAAATCAAGACTCCCTTGTCCCAGGTGGCTATAATGTATTTATCATTTATTCCAAAGGAAGGAGTGAAATTTTCAGTTCTGATTATCAGATTGTTACTTGTAATATTCTATGTCATATAATACTTGATATTGATTTGTATTTACTGAGAAATACTGTAGGGTCTAATAGAGTGGTGAAACTATACAATTATGAATAACTGGTATGGATTTTCATAATGTTTAAATAAAGTGTCAGTTAATGCATTAATGATGTTTCTCATGCATAGCCATTGGTTAAAACCTTTCAGATAAGTGGTTCTTTTCTGCTTCCATGTAGTCGTACTATCCCGTGAGGCCTTGCAGGCTTATATGCTTGTCTCTCCTGGCTTTAGCAGTGTCCAGCCTTCTTGATATCAGCAGTACCAAAACTTTCTGTGAATCCATTCCCCCAGCCTTCTCTTGTTCACAGGAGGTGTGTTTACACTTCATTCCTATCTGTCAGCTCTGCTTTTCCCAACTGGCTAATGTTTTTTTGTTGTTGTTGTTTTGGTGCTGGGAGTTGAACTCATGACCTCGTGCTTGCCAGGCAGGCGCTGTACTACTGAGCTATATCCTTCGTCCCCAACTGGCTAATACTAAATGCAAGGCGGGTTCTCTGATTTTATGTACTTGAAAATGGAAAGAGCCCTTCAGAATAACTTGAAGGTCAATCTTTTCTCCCAATAAACTTTGTTTTTTCCCTTCTTACAAGACTAAATTTTAATAACATAACCAATGTATTTATTATTTACATTCTGTTAAAAAAAATTGGAACATTACTGGCCAAGCTACAGACCACTTCGACCCATCTTCCCCATGTTAGATTCATTCCTTATTTTTCCCCACAGTAATTTCAGTTACTACTTAGTTGTGGTTTTGCTTTTTTTTGGCTTTTTGATGGTGCTGGGGATTGAGCTTATGCGCTCACACATAGTAAGCACTTGCTGTACCGTTTAGCTATACCTCCAACCCCTCTTTTAAATTTTAAAGAATACTTTTAAACATTAATGTGCCAGTAGAAATGCAAACCTTTTCTCGAATCAGCTGTGTGCTGTCTATATCTGTGTGGTTCTGCAGTGTACATCTTTCATTCAACATTATGTGTGTCTTAAATTTATCCATCTGGACATATAGTAATCCATGCAATACATTCACCGATAAAACTCCACGGTACTGCTCATTAGGAACATACCTTATTTCAATGAGCTGTTTCCCTAATAGTGGATGTGGAGATTGCTTCTAATTTTTTGCTTTTACCAACAGCACTATCAAAGATATTCTTGTCCATTCTCTTAACCACCTTTATACTGTTAAGTACTATATTGACTGTTAGTTTTATTTTGGCCTCTAAACACATTATATTTAGTCAAACAACTATCGTGTGATTTTTCTCTCTTCTTCATAGAGATGCTATTGAGAAGTTATTTCCTGATGCCATTAGAATGAGATTTGAAGACATTCAGCAGAATAATGACATAGTCCAAAGTCTTGCAGCCTTTCAAAAATATGGAAACGATCAGATTCCTTTAGCTCCCAACCCAGGCCGAGTGAATCAGCAGCGAGGTGGGGGCTTCTTTTCTGGAGTGCTCACAGCTCTAACTGGCGTGGCAGTAAGTCTCTCCATCCCTCTGTGCCCACCGCACCCTCAGTCTCCGTGGCAGTAGCTCTTGGTGACTGTTAAGCGACTGGTGGTGTGACTGTGTAACTCACTGTGTCCGCTGACAGCCACTGGGCTGTGTGATTTCTTCAGGAACATTGCTTACTCAAGTGATTCAAAATGGTTGATGCCCAGTGAATGTTAGCTGCACCCTGTTCCATCCTTTTTTTTTTTTTTTTTGGTTTTTCTCCGGTACCGGGAACCGAACTCACGACCTTGCGCTTGCCAGGCAGGCGCTTTGCCGCTGAGCTAAATCCCCAGCCCCTGTTCCATCCTTGTTGTGGTTTGTGCGAGAGGAACCACTATGCCACTGTGGAGGTGAGGAAACAGGGCAGACAGTGGTAGAATGGGGCATTGAGACGTGTCTTGATGATGCGCTTCTACAAGCATACTGTTAACTTTTACTGTACAGACTACTATTTTTTTCAGTCCGATGTTCTAAAAATCAAAATGCTCTTCCAGTAGAAAAGGTATATTTGTGAAAATGTCAGTTTGTTGACTAAGTTGATGAGTTCAAGGCTACAACAACTACTAGGTACCCTAGGATGCGTCCTGTTCTGCTCTCTGTTCTCTCACTGCCCTGTGGAGAGCAGGGACAAGAGCCAGAGGACATTGTGACCCTAGTCCTCCACAGTGGTGGCATTGCCCTCCTACTGGGTATGATGACGTGGCATCATCCCCTTCCAGCTCAGCTCAGCTCAGCTCTGCCCTGCACGGCCCCACACTCCCATATTCAGAGAGTGTTGATCTGACCTCTGCGTCCTTTCCCCAGGTAGTCCTGCTTGTGTACCACTGGAGCAGCAGGGAATCTGAGCACGACCTCCTGGTCCACAAGGCTGTGGCCAAATGGACGGCAGAAGAAGTTGTCCTCTGGCTGGAGCAGCTGGGCCCTTGGGCCTCCCTCTACAGAGACAGGTTTTTATCTGAAAGAGTAAATGGAAGGTGAGGAGAAATATCTTTTGGCATGCCTTCGGTATTTCTGTAACCAGCTTTTTTTTTTCTTTTTTTTTGAGACAAGGTCTCACCATGTAGTCTAGGCTGGCCTTAAACTCACTTTGTGGCTCAGGTTGGCCTCAAACTTGCAGTTTGCCTCAGCCTCCCAAGTGCTGGGATTACTGGAGTGTGCCACCACACCCATCTTATATCCAGCTTTGTTGAGATACAAGTTTATGCCCCAAAATTCACCCATTTGAAGTGTACAGTTAATGGTTTTTAGTGTATTCACAGATATATGCAACCTTCACCACAGTTTAGAACATTTTTCTGACCCCAGAAAAAACCTATTACCCTTATTGGTCAATCCCCATTTTCCTGTCTAACTGCTGGCAAACACCATTCAACTTGGTGTTTACAAAACTGGATTGGCATGTTCTGGAGTTTCATATAAATAGGATCAGATACCATGTGGCCTTTTGTATGTGGCTTCTTCAGTTAGCATGTTTTCAAGGTTCACCCACGATGTAGCTATATCAGTGCTTCATTCCTTTTTATCACTGAAAAATACTCCATTATTTGGATAGACTACATTTTATCTGTTCTTCAGTGACGGACATTGAGGTTGATTCCAGGTTTTGGCTATTGAAAATAATGTTGCTGTGATCATTTGTGTATAAGATTTTGTGTGGTCAGCTGGGCGCAGTGGTGCATGCCTGTAATCCCAGCACTCCGGAGGCTGAGGCAGGAGGATTCCCATTGAGTTTGAGGCCAGCTTGCACTACATAGCAAGACCCTGTCTCCAAAAAACAATAAAAATTTTGTGTGGACATAAATTTTCAGTACTCTTCCTAGAGTAGAATAGTTGGGTTGTAGGATAACTCTATGTTTATTTCCCCACCTCCTAAAATACTGTAGTTTAATATAATTTACATTATATATAATATATATAATTTTTTTCATCAAGTAGTTTTTTGTTTTTTATTCTACTTTATTAGTGCATGTTAACATTACATGATGGTAGAGTTTGATCTGGGAATTTAGTACATGTATTCAACATACCTTAATTTCCATCCTATTAGCTCTTTCTCTTACCTCTGTGTTTACTTTTTGTCTTTGTGGCTTCCTGATTATAAAAGTAATTGCATTTATTACTTTTTTAAGATAATATAAGACTACATGATCCTGAAAGTGAAAACACCTTTGTAATCCTACTCTTTAGAAAATGCCCAGCATGATGACGCATACGTGTAATCCCCGCACTCGGGACCCTGAGGCAGGAGGACTGCTGTGAGTTTGAGGCCAGCCTGGGCTACGTTAGCAACTTCAAGGCTAGCCTGCACTATACAGTGGGACCCTGTGTCAAAAGAAAACAGAAAAGTGCAGTCTACCAATAGCTCCATCCCCAGCTCCCAGATTTTTAAAATATTTATACATAAAATATATAAATGTGCATTATTTCTGTATTTAAACTGAAAATTTAGTTGTACTAAGTAGACCTGTTTTTCTATGTGTGCATAGATATAGTCATATATATAGATAGATGTAGATATATCCCTATATGTAGTGGTTACACAAAACATCACACATTGATAGGAACAGAACCTTCTGTAATCCATTTAATCCATTTATTTCAGACATGGAATCTGCTCACTGCCAGGCCTCCTGACTGCCCCACTTGCAGTCAGTACCTGCCCCCCCAACTAGCTTTTTTTTTTAATTTTAAGAACTAAGATGAATGCAGGGATCACTAAGCTACATCCCCAACCCTTTTCAGTTTATAACAGGGTCTTGCTAAGTTTCTCTGGTTGCTCTCAAACTTGAGATTCTCCTGCTTCGGCTTCCATAGTGGCCCAAATAGTAGGCATGCATCACTGTGCCTAGCTTTCACTGACACTTGACTTTCCTGTGGAAAAGCAAAATGCTTCTATTTGAATTAGGTTCTTGTAAGAATTAGCTTCCCCAAAACTGTGGTTAAAAATTGCTGTATCTAGTTGTTAACAGTGTATCTTAGTGAACTGTTTTACTCTAGAAGATGAAGTCCTAGAACAGAAATCACTGGGTCAAAAGGAGTAAGTGTGTGTCTTTAATAAGTACTACTACTACTGAATCAGCTGCAGCAAGACCATCACACTTGCACTCCTCCACCCAGAGTTGCATGCTGCTGCTGTTATCTCTTCTGCCTGCCTATGTACAGTGATCCATTTCCCCTGTCCCAGAGAGCAAACGCAGGGCCCTGGCTTGTGAGGCAAGCATTCTTCCACTGAGCCACACCCCACCACCCACACCAGCCCTACAGGAAGGAATTTAATGACAACTCCCTGTGGAAGTGGAATCTTACTTTCTGATGAGAAAACTAGATAAGGGACCTATAATCATTGTTATTAAATTAAATCCCTGCCCCAAAAGAACCACTCTTGTTTTGTCTTTTTTTAATTTTTTGTTTTGAGATGAAGTCTTGCCTTGTTGTCCAGGGTGACCTCCAGCTTACAGTCTTCCTGCCTCAGCCTCCCAGTGCTTTGCACCACACCCAGCTGTGCCATGTGCCACCACACTCAGCTAAAACAGCCTCTCTTTTCTTTATATTTTACTAATTTTAAAGCGAAAAAAGACAATAAAAATAATGATACAACATTTTAAAACAAGATAATCGGAAATTAACAATGGTTAATATATTGCATATTGTTATCTTCAAAGCAGTTGCTCAGATTACAAGATATAGGCGTGCAAGATTGATCAAACAATGTAAGCATAAACTGTTCCCTTCAATGAACTAAAAGAAATTAGTAGTATAACTATCTTAGCTATCTTGATGTGTATATATATATGTCTTTTTCTTTTTTTTCCGTCCCTTTTCTCCTTTCCCCCATCCTAGTTGTTCTTTCCTTTTGGGCAGTTTCTTTCCCTTTCACAGTATCTATTGTAGATTTTAGTTCTTATTTACTCTTTCAGTTTCTTACACTAGGAGAATAGTCACTTTTACTATCATAATGTTACTGGCTATCCTTCTAAATTTTTTCCTGTACGTACACGAACCAGAACAATATGTAAGATTCCGAGTCTTTAGCTGAAAGATCAAAGGCTTAGGAACAAAACAGACCCTGGTGTGCTGTGGACAAATCACTTTATTTCCTAAGCCTGTTTTCTGGTCCGTGGAAAGGGCACATCACCAGAACACCTACAGAACTGTTAAATAACTGGCCATGGTTTATGAAAAACTACTAGAATTTGGCAAATAATAAGCAGTCACCTATTTGCTGCTGATGCTGCTACTACTACTACTACTACTACTACTGTTACTACTACTACATATGTTTAATGCCTCACTTTACCTCAAGCCTAAAATACTTGGATTGTTAAGGTGGATCTCAGTGTAGAAACTTTGCTCCCAGTGTATAATCTCAAAAGAAATCTCTCCCCCACCACAGATTACTTTTAACCTTGACAGAGGAAGAATTTTCAAGAGCACCCTATACCATAGAAAACAGCAGCCACAGAAGAGCCATCCTCATGGAGCTGGAGCGTGTCAAAGCGCTAGGCGTGAAGCCCCCTCAAAATCTCTGGGAATATAAGGTGAACTCTTGACTTATTTTAATTGAAAAAAGAATAGAATACAACACAGCATCATCTCCTTGCCTGCTGTGTAACTTAAAAGCTGACACCCCCAGGTCTGCCTTCCTGTCTGGGCCAGCCCCCTTCCTGCAGGGCTGCTGGGCCTGCTCCCCTTCATACTACAGTGGTGTCCCCAAGCTCAGGGGCATTGTTTTCTAGGCTTTAACCTTAACAGGAGAGTCACAGACTGTGTGTCCTTCTGCATGTAGCTTTTATCTCTGGGGCTCTCCAGTTCACTGTTTTCTCTTGTACTGTGTTCCCCTGGACACATATGTGACGACTTGTAGATTTTCCTGTTGATGGTTGCTCCTGGGAAGCAGGCAGCTCTACACATTCTTGGGAAGCTCTTGGACGGATGTGCAAGAGTTTATGGAGAGCCGGGCGTGCTGGCACACGCCTGTAATCCCAGCACTTGGAAGGCTGAGGCAGGAGGATCCTTGTGAGTTCGAGACCAGCCTGGGCTACAAAGTGAGCTCAAGGCCAGCCTGAACTGCATAGCGAGACCCTGTCTCAAAAAGGCAAAAAAAAAAAAAAAAAAAAAAAAAAGAGTTTATGGTGCACACTAAGGAGTGGAATTGCTAGGTCATAAGTAGTGCATGCTTTCAGTGTCAACTAGCTTCTGGTAAATTGATCTTTAATGTGACTGTGCTGATTGAGTCTCCTTCACTGGTAAGATTTAATGAATGCTGTAAAAGAAATGCTGTTATTAAATATGAAATATCTGGAATGTACAGACTTAAACTCTAGAAAAAGACAGCATGGAGAAAAATCAGATAACTAATAAACTTGTGACAAGAAATGCCCATTCATAGTTAAAGAAGAGCCAACTAAACAAGCCGATGACTTTTTTCTGAATTATGCTAGTGTCAGATTAGACATTTAATGTGAAGAAAGAGGCACTTGTGGGTTTTGAGGATCATGAATTGGTGCAGTCTCTCTGGAGGGCATTTTGTCCTAACATTTGGATTTAAACTGTGTCCTCCCTCCCTCTGGCATTCCACTGCTTTACATTTGAAGTGGAGGCAGCATATCTCAGTGATCAAAAGCAAGGCTATAGTTCAGCATAGGGATGCATGCCTGAAATTCCAGCACTCAGGAGGCTGAGGCAGAAGGATCGCAAGTCTCAAAACAGAAAAAAGAGCAAGGCTCTGGAGCCATCTGCCCGGGTTCCTTGCCAGCTCCATCAGGACATATTGCCTGTGGATCCTCCTGTCTCAGCCTCTCAGAGTACTGGGATTATAGATATGCACCATCATTCCCAGCTTGTACAAGTCATCATTATTAATATTAGCCAGAGTAAATGGGAACTTGAGTCTGAGCCTGCTGTTAAACCAAGATAATCTCCACCTCAGTCAGCTCCTTTGCCTCTTCCTTGCTGCCCAGCCCCTCCTTGAGTGCACATTTGATAAGTAGCCAAAAGATTGCTGCAGCCCTACTGTCGTGGTGTGGCTCCATCTGAATGCCCGAAAGAGATGGCTGCCTTCTTAGTGCTGTCCTCATCGTCACCTCACTGTCAGTTGTTTTCCTCCTTATCTGATGGGAAGTAAATAAGACTTGGATTGTTTGGGCCCAGCACTCACACTGATGCCGGGGCTGCAGATATGGAACCTGGCGTCTCCCTTTCTCTTGTCCTTATCTGCTCTGGCTGCACACAGCAGGCTTTACTTCTGGGGCCTGTGTTCCTTGAGATCATGTATCCTTACGCTCAGTATTGTCCCCACAGGGCAAAAATGGGCTCTTGGGGGGTTAAAAAAGTCTTAAGTGATGATGTGACTTTTTGACATCTTCCAAAAGACCACAGTACATAAACAGATTCATAGTATATCTGTAGTATTAACATTTCGTGGGGCTGAGCATGGGGGTGCGCACCTGTTATTCCAGCACTCAGGAGGCTGAGGCAGGAGGATCACAGGCCAGCCTGGGCTATATAGTGAGTTCAAGGCCACAGCACATAGGCCATTGTATGCTGAATTAGAGTAAACCCTGTCTCAAAAAAAAACAAGTTCATAGAGTATGAGGCAATGAAGAAATGTCTTATGGTGCTAGAGGTATAGCTCAGTGGTAGAGTGTTTTCCCAGTGTGTGGGAGGTCCTCCCTGGGTTCAGTCCCCAATACTCATCATCATCATCATCATCATCATCATCATCATCATCATCTTGGCAGTCATTTTGACCTGACCTCATTGGTCCATGATGGTTTCCTTTCTCACAGGTCAAGATGCTCAAGTTACTCTTTTCTGCTCCAGGCTTAGAATTTGTCATTTTATAAATGGATATTTTTACATCTTTCACTACAGAAAATTTCAGATGTATACAAAAATGGACAAGTGTATGAGTGTAAGCATATCTAAGCATATTATTTCATCCCTACATACTTTAGTGTGAATTTCTAAAGAGAATTTTTTTTAAATGGTATTTATCACATATAAAAATTTAAAAGTAAACCACCTATGACATCAGATAAGTTGATAGATTGAAAGATTTATTGAGGTAGAATTAACACACACATACTTAAAGTGTATAGTTGGATGTGTTTTGACATGTGTACATACCTGTGAAACCAGCACAACCAAGATGGGGAGTACATCCATCTCTCCCCCCAGAATTTCCTGCTCTCCCTTTGTATTCCTCCCTCTTACTTCTCCCATCCTACTAGGTGTGTGTCTTGGTTACTTTTCTCTCGTTGCTGAGACAAAATACCTGACACCCAGAATTAAGGAAGGAAAGGTTTATTTAGCTCAGTTTGTGGAGGTTTCAGTCCATACTCAACTGGCTCCAAGGCAGAGTGGCACATGGCAGAGGGCAACAGTTCATGGCTGCAGAAAACAACAGAAGCAACAAGAGCAAAAGGGGAAAGCAGTGGCAAGCAGCCTCTTTCCCTCCCTTACATTGTATGAAAACTACCCGCCCCAGGGCAGGTGTAGCACTCACACCCGTGAATCAATCATAAACTCTAGAAGCCCGCCCCATAACTGCATGAGGCATTTAGGGGACATCCAGACACAACCCCTAACAGTGTGCATTGATTTCCGTTGTTTGTTTGTTTTGTTTCACTGTGCTAGGGATGAAACCCAAGGTCATGCATGCCAGGCAAGTGCTGTACCACTGAACTACACCCCAGCCCTCCAGGATGGCTTCAGTATGCATTTCTCTAAAGAATAATGATATTAAGCCTCTTTGAAGACCTTACTTGCCATCTTTGTGTCTTCTCTCAAAAAGCACCGAATTTACTTGATTCTAAATATCAGATATTTTGAATTGTTTTTAAAATTACTTTTATAACTTTAAAAAATAAATGTTCATTCATTATAGTAAAATTTGCAAAAATGAGGAAAATAAAAGGAAATTACCCATAATCTCACTTGAAATTCAAGCACAATTAACATTGCAGTTGTATTTATTTTTCCTGGTCTATTCTGTGAGAAGCTTCTACAGTCTTAAGTAATATCTGTTGAGTGCGTGTCGAGAGCAGGTGACCCTGCAGGAAAGGTGTCCCATTGCTGAGCAAGGTCCTGCTGTCACAGCCATGATACTAAAGAGATTGTCTTGCTACACATCTACCTAGGCCATAAATTTCGGTGGTTTTCATTGTGACAGTGCAACACCAAACATTTTGTATGTGAAGCTTTTGCTAGTTCAGTTATTTTCAGTAAGTGGTATCCACTTACAGATAAGTTAATTTGAACTCTTCCCTTTCTTCCCTTGCTCCCTCCTTTCTTTCCTGTCTTCTTGCCTCAGCCTCCCAAGTAGCTGGGATGAAGAGGCGTACAGCAGGTGTGAGCCACCACACCTGGCTTTGAATATTTTAAGGACCGATGTTTTTCAGAACTGCGTCCCCAAAATGTTGTGTTCTAAGAGCAGGGCCAAGGAGCCAGCTTCTCACCTCTGATCTCATCTATGGATAGAAATGGGGCTTTTTTATAAGGCAGCCCAAAAGATGGATTACTTGGCCTCTTACTGCCATTCATTCATTCTTTTGTGTGTGTGTGCAGATCACCCACTAGCAAAAAAACCCATGGCAAAAAGCATGAGACCACGGAAGGAGTGTGGATGAGGAGCTGGCCACCAAGGTTGTAATGTGGTCCTCTGCCTGCTTGTCCCTTGTAGGCTGTGAACCCAGGCAGGTCCCTGTTCCTGCTGTATGCCCTCAAGAGCTCCCCGAGACTCGGTCTGCTGTACCTGTACCTGTTTGACTACACAGACACCTTCCTGCCCTTCATCCACACCATCTGCCCTCTGCAGGAGGACAGCTCTGGGGAGGACATCATCACCAAGCTGCTGGTAGGTGTGCGGAGTGCCTGGGGTAGAACTGCGCTGTCGTCCCTCGGTGTGGGGTTGGAGACATGGCTGTCGGGTCCTGTGAAGAGAAAGCAATGGCCAGGCTTCTTGCAGATTTTGCAGGGCGAGATGCCCCTCCACACAAGGGAAAACGAAGTCAGACCTTTCCTAGAAGCTCATTTTGTTCTCTGCATTGCATACCAAGAGGAGCAGTCCTCTAGACTTGCAATATTAAAAAGAAAAACATGAAACATTGCTTTCATTATAAAAGAAAATAGCCTAGGTCCAGACCACAAGAAAGAATTAGATGTAGGGGCCTTTCGGTCTGTAGAGTGTCTCAGTAGAACCTCCAAAGAGCGGTTATTCGTCCCACCCTGAGGGCAGAGTGTACATCCGTCCTGAACGCCTTAGAACAGTCATCACCCAGCTCGCTGGTAGGAGTTGTCACCTCTGCTGACCACGGGACTCTTCACGGGCGTGGTGGTCCCCCCACTCCACCCTGTAGGCACTTGTTTCTTTGATTTCACTGGAGGAGTCCTTCAGAATTGCTGGTGGACTTGTTTACTGGGGCTGACTTCTCTATGCCTGGTCAGTCACTTGAGGGTAATGTCCTTTCCTTTGCTACTCTTGGGGCTGATCCTTCTGATCTGTTTATATAAAAGTGTCCTAGACATAGTATAATCATGTATAATCCACACCTGTAAACACTAAAACTGAATTTCTGAATCTCCAAAGACGCTTCTTAAATACTATTCAAGAGGCCACCTGGCCACAGCCTCAAATGTAGGTTAGAGCTGCTAATTAGACCTTCTGCACAGTTATTCAGAGTCCCTATTTTCTGGTTGTGACTTGCCCCCAGACTCAGAGCACAGAAACTGTACAAACATTTCTATCTTAACAAGTCCCAGTAACCCCTGCCTGTTCATCAAACTAATTTTTTAATTTGCTAACATCTGTACCTCCCAGATTACTTTTTCAAGGTGTATATATATATAAATATTTTTAATTTCACCATCATTTATTGTCACTACCACACCTAAGATGTTGAATTTAGAAAGTGATTTGAGCTCCTCATGTAGGGACAGAGGAATAAAACACTGATTAATGCAAATACATTTCAACCCTATTATTCATAACTCACGTTTATTTATATTTTTACTTCTGAGGGGCTGGGGATTTAGCTCAGCGGCACAACGCCTGCCTGGCAAGCGTGAGGTCGTGAGTTCAATTCCCGGTACCGGAAGAAAACCAAAAATATATATATATTTTTTTACTTCTGAACTTCAGTTATGTAACAAGCATCTCAGTACAAACTTTTTGGTCACATTCATTTAATTTAATTCTTACAAGAGAAACTGATGGGTGAAAATGCTCAGATTGTTAGGTATACATAGCAAATGTAAAGCTTGCTGATCACAATATTTTGGTTAAAAGTCACTGCTTGGGATTTTTTGTGTCTGTGTGTGCTGTCTTTCAAGGATCTGAGGGAGCCCACCTGGAAGCAGTGGAGAGAGTTCCTTGTCAAGTACTCCTTCCTGCCATACCAGCTGATTGCGGAATTCGCCTGGGACTGGCTGGAGGTCCACTACTGGACATCGCGGTTTCTCATCGTCAATGCCATGTTACTCTCAGTTCTCGAATTATTCTCTTTTTGGAGGATCTGGTCCAGAAGTGAGCTGAAGTAAGTGTGTTTTTGTGTGAGAGATGTTTGGAGCAGCAAGGGCTGGAAAGGAAATACCAGGTAGGGAAAAGATCCCCTCTGAAGTATTTCTCAAAGTTGAAAAGGAAAGAAAATCCTTCTACCAAGACTTCTTGGACTCCGGCTTGAGAAATCCTATGTAGGCAGTGGGTAGAAAAGTAAATTTGTGTTTGCAGGGAGCGGGTGTGTCCATTATGACAGTGTTTCCCTGTAGCTCTCATACCTACATAATAACAAACCATGTAATCTCAGGAGGGTGTATGTACATGAAGGATTTCAATAATTAGGGAGTAAACAAGTGAGAAGAGGGTCCTTTACGGGAAACAGCAGTGTTGTAGAGCATCAGGAGCCCTCGTGGGGGATTCTGTAGCCATGTGATCCAATGCTGTTCTTCCAGCAACTAGAACAATAATAACTTCTCTTGATTAATGAAAAGAATGAGAGAACTGTTCTAGACAGCCTCATAGTCAGAGGCTCTTGGGTGCAAGTGACGGGAGCCAACCTAAACTGGCTTCACTGAAAAAGTCGGCAAGTGTGGCTGGACCCAGAGGCCCAGAGCCGTCCTCAAGACCAACTCCATCACAGCCTTGCACCTCCCTGTGTTAGTCTCTTGCAGCTTTCCTCATGTGGGAGCTTTGGCTGCTTCTGACTTTGGTCTGAGCATTTTAGCAATCCTGTTGGGAAGGAAGCACTTATAGGCGGGGTGTGGTGGCATATACCTGTGATCTCAAAACCCAGGAGGGTGAGTTCATGACCAGTCTGGGCTACCTAGTGAGTTCAAGAGGCCAGCCTCAACTACATAGTGAGACCCTGTCTCAAAACAAAAAAAAGCAGCACTTTTCTCATACCATGTGTAACAGGTCTCAGGGCTCAGACACTTTTGCTCTGATTGGGCCAGCCTGGGCCACATGGCTCCCCAAGCCCACCAGGGGTGTACAGGGGTGTGCAGAGCTCTCCTCGGCCAGCCTCAGGGCATGCACTCACCTTACCACTGGGAGCTACTTTTGGTCCAACCCAGAGATTAAGAGAGGAAGAGCCTAAGGATATAATTCAGTGCAGGAGTGTGCTTAGCATGCTCAAAGCCCTGAGCTCAGTCCCCAGCAACCTGTAGCCTCAAATAAAAGGATGGGGATAACTAGGCATGGTGGCACTTGCCTTAATTCTAGCTCTGGGAGGCTGAGTCTGAGGATCACAATCTTGAGTTCAGCTTGGGTAACTTAGTGCCTTAACAAGATTCTGTCTTTAAAAGAAAAGAAAATAGGGGAGGAGACATGCCCAAAGCAACACTCAGAAGCTGTTTCCAGAAGAGGATGACTGTGGGGCAGGCAGAAGGAAAACACCTACCACATCCTTTCATCTGGGGAACCGACGACTTGTGGGATTCTTGGCCTTGCCTGTCAGAAGCAACCTTAACAGTTCTGAGAACCTGACAAGAATCTCCCGTGTGTATTTTGATTGAGCAAACTCACTTATTCACACAGAGAACATGGATATTTACGCCCTTGCTTTACCTCTGGCTCTCTGCAGGGCACTGCAGATCTTTTGGTAAAGCACACAGAACAGCTTCTACCCATCAGAGAAAAAACATTTAAAAACAAGTATAAGTGTGACAGCAACAAGCAGGTGAGGTTGGGGAGCAGGCATCTGTGGCTGTGGGCTGCGTGCTGGGAACTGAAGGCAGACCGGTCAGCAAAGGTACAAGTGTGCATGGGGTGCCTGCCGCAGAGGACAAGGTCTCTGCGGCCCAGGCAGGCTCCCCTGTGAGGCAGATGAGGCCCAGGCTGAGCCCGAGGAGTCTAAACCTCTTTTCTTCTCTTTGCAGGACAGTGCCTCAGAGGATGTGGAGCCATTTTTGGAAAGTGTCAACACAGGGGCTTTTCGTGGCCATGTTCTGGCCCCTCATTCCTCAGTTTGTGTGCAACTGTTTGTTTTATTGGGCCCTATACTTCAACCCAATTATTAACATTGATCTCGTAGTCAAGGAAGTTCGACGGCTGGAAACCCAAGTGTTGTGACTGGCGCTGCCCCAGCTCTAAGAGACGACTCAGACCTCCCAGAGCGGGGAGTGACCGAGTGGACTTCCTGTTTTCTACCCCAGTAAAACAAGGTGCTGCTTTGTATGTCAAAGGCTTCAACCAGGTCCTCTCTCCTGCCATGGCCCTGTGGTGACAGAGACTGATAACCAGTACAAGAAGGACTCTCTGTTCGGCCCACAGCAGAAGCACCTCCCACCCAGCCACCCTTTTCACGAGACCATGGCAGGCTCAGGCCCGATGGCTGGCAGGACTCGGGGTCCTCAGAGGACACAGTGCAGGTGATGTGCAGAGGCCATCACATCAGCAGTCCCCTTTGCCCTAACCTCAGTAACTGACAGGCTCCCAGAGCCTGAGACCAGGCTTGTTGGGGCCAGGCCCATCCTGTAAGTCAAGTTTAAGAAAACAGGGATAGAAATTTTGTCATAGGCCTAGGTTGTTCCACATACAAAGGACAGAGGAAAACCCAGAATTCGATCACCTGTTCTCTCCTGATGAGTAGTTGTTAGGTTTTGGAGTAAACCTCAAGAAGGATTCAGTGTGAGATGAGAATGATGGTGAACTCGTCCTCACTATTTGCTGTTCTGCAATCACTGGAAGTTTGGACCCCTCTTAGTGGAGGGATTGAGTGGGATGTCAGGCAGTTCATGGCACGTAATTCCCATCAGGCTAAGCTGCATCAGGCTACTTATGAGCATTGTTTTGGAGTGCTTTTGTTTTGTTTTCAAGAATTTAATTTTTAAATAAATCTGGGATAGTTTTTGTTCAAGGAAGCATTTTATAAATTAACCTCACACTTTATAATGTATAACTGTTATTGTTCGGCCCTGACGCATACACACAGATATCATTACACCCAGTGCTATAATTATAAATGGGAGCAGGATGAAGTACGGCCTTTCATTTCCACCCAGTGTGAAAACAGCAGTGTGATCTTACCAAGATTGGCCTGGCTAGAATGAGTCTGCATGCAAAGCGCGTGTGTGTGACTCCATGAACCATTCACTAACCGTTTGTATCTCTGCGTGCAGATTTCACTCACACTTTGCATCTGAAGGTTTGAAGAAATTACTTGAAATAAAGATTTTTATACAGATAAAACTTCTGTAGAGGGAAAAACTGTTAACAAAATATACAAAAAATATCAAGAGTTGCCTTCTGTACTAGTCAGACTTCAGCTTCCAGATTGATAGGGGTGTGGGGCCAGTGGGCAGCCCTGAGGTCTCTTCAGTGAAGAGGGAGAATTCTTCATTCCCTTTGTTTATCAAGCCCTTGGGGTGCCTCACTTTCCCTGGTAACCTACCAGAGACAGGTGCTCTGGGTGCGGAGACACTGTGGTGCTTGTGCGTGCCTGGTCTCGAACCCTGTGGTGTAACTGGTATTCTTCCCTGGCTGGCAGAGGTCACAGAGCTGGCACTGGCTACAGACATGTATCTGGGCCTGGTCCAGACTCCCAGACCAGGCCCCCACCCCATGGCCTCCCATAGTCCCCTCCTCCCACATCCGGCTTCAAAAATGAGCAACACCTAGATGCTTTGGAAAGAAAGGTGAGGGAGACTTGGCTGCAACTAGAAAAACAGGTGGGTGAGGTGCTCATTCCTTACCGCCAGGAGGGCCTAGAATTCTCAGACTGGGGGTGCCAAGCTGCCTCACCTCCCTCAGATGCCCCTACTGGAAAAGTCAGGCTTGAGGGCAGCCAAAGGAGTGTCCATGCAAAATATGCAGACCCCATGACAGAAAACACCGTTTCTCTAAATTCAGGCCAGGAAACAAAAAGATGTGTAAGTGGGGGGGGGATTTACTTATAAGCATCCTCATCATAACAACTGATAAAAACAGAAGTGTCCAATGAACAAAAAGTTGGTGATCTACAAAATGTCAACTAATGCCAGGCATGCTAGTACATACCTGTAATCCCAGCATGAGACAAAATGAGACTTCAGTGCCAGCCTGGGCTACCTAGCAAAACCCTGTCTCAAAAAAAAAAAAAAAAGCCCAAGGGCTGTGGATGTAGCTAGTGTGCAAGACCCTGAGTAGAATCCTCAGCACCACAAAAGAAAACAGAAAAAGGCCCCTTAGGAAAACCATATGGCTTCTCCAGGCATGGCGTACATCTGTAATCCCAGCACTCAGGAGGCTGAGGCAGGAGGATTGCTGTGAGTTTGAGACCAGCCTGGGTATATAAGCAAATTCAAGGCCAGCCTGCAAGACACTGTCTCAAAAAAAAATTCATAGCATCACCTCAACAACTATTCCACTGCATTTTTAAGAAGTAGCAAAGAGGACAAACAGTGATACCAGCAGTGATTATCCTGGATGATGAGAACTTCCCCTGCTTTATTTTGTAATGTATTTCACTGTCTCTTTTCTGTCTGTCTCTCCATCTCTCTCCTCTCTCTGTGTCTCTCAAGCCCAGGAAACACAGATTTTTTTTCTTTTCAAGGAGCCTTGTGGCGGTACATACCTGTAATCCCAGCACTTGGGAGACTGAGGCAGGAGGAGGGAGGCTGAGGCAGGAGGATCATTGTGAGTTCGAGACCAGCCTGGGCTACAAAGTGAACTCAAGGCCAGTTTGAACTGCATAGCAAGACTGTCTCAAAAAAGACAAAGAGCCGGGGCTGGGGATTTAGCTCAGCGGCAAAAAGCGCCTGCCTGGCAAGCGCAAGGTCGTGAGTTCGGTTCCCGGTACCGGAGAAAAAACCAAAAAAAAAAAAAAAAAAAGACAAAGAGCCTTGCTATGTTGCCCATACTGGCCTCCAACTTGTGCCTCAGGGTCCCCAGTAGCTAGAACTATAGGCATGTGCCTCCCCAACCCCACTGATTTTTTGTTTGAGATAGGGTCTCACTATGTAACTCAGGCTGGCCTTGAACTCACTGTGCAGCCCAGGCTGGCCTCAAACACATGATCCTCCTGCCTCACCCCAAATACTGGGATTACAGGCGTGTACCCAGCTAGTAAATTAACACATACTAGACTTTACCTTTACGAGAGTGGGTGTGGTGTGACCGTTTTTGTTTATTGCCACAACCTAGAATCTACAACATGGCCAGGCACACAGTGGAATTTGTTCACATTTAACCAGCAGCCATTAGGAGCAGGTTAGAAGACAAAGCCCACCTTTTCATAAAAGCTGAACCTGAAAAATGATACCAAACCCAGCTACGTGCATAGGCATGGGAGCCAGGTGTTGTTGTGGTACATGCCAATAATCCCAGCACTGGGTAGGCTGAGGCAGGAGGATCATGATTTTAAAACCACCTTGGACTACACATAGAGTTCAAGGTCAGCCTGGATAATACAATAAAACCCTGTCTCAAAAAATAAAATTGGTCCAGGTGTGGTGTTGTGTGCCAATGATCCCAGCATTCTGGGAAGCTGAGGCAGGAGGATGACAACATCCAGCTCACCCTTAGTGATTTAACAAGATCCTATTTCAAAACAAAAAGGAGATGGGGCCATAGTATGAGGGCCCTAGGCTTTATCCCTAGTACCACAAATAAATAAAAATACTAAAATAAAGTAGGCTTGGGACCTTTTGAGACCAGAGACAGTGGCGGGAGACATCCTGACCTTAGATGGGCGACAGACAGCATGCCTTCTGCCTCCTGGAAACCACAAGAGCATCCTCCTCTCACCATATTTCCTTCACATCTTGACATCAGCCGCAGAAATATCCCCCTGACCTCATCTCCTTAACATCCTGACCTGAGCCCTAAAAGCATGCTCCTGTCCTCATCACCATTCTTGGGGCTGTGTCGTGAGCTGAGGAGCATGCTCAGTAACCGCCTCACAGTGCAGGAGAGGAACCCCCCGTCACTGTAGCATCATTAGCCCTGCAGCGTTAACGCTCCTGGTGGGCTTTGACAGCCATGCTGGTTCTCTCCGGGCCCATGTACCACCACCCACCCCTTCTGACCGGAGAGTGGGGACTCACAGTTGACTGGAAAGCCCAGTCAGTTTTGCCACCCTTGGCTACGCCCCAAATTCTATGAAAAAAGAAGCCAACCCCAGAACTCACTGCAGTTGCCATCCCTGGCTCTGCCTACCCTCCATTCTTGAGGGTGGACTTTCATTACTGGCACTGCCACCTCTGAATGCTGCCGGCTTGGAACTCTCCCAAGTGTACTTTAATCTCAAACAGGTGAGACCACTCCGAGGCACACTCACTTTTGAGCTTTCTCCTCAGCCCACTCCTGTTCTGTGGAATGTACTTTCCTTTCATAAACCTCTGCCTTTCTTACTACTTCTGTATGTCCTTGTTCAAGATACAAAGAACCCATCAGGTGAGACTGACACCAACTGTCTGTAACACATGGACCTTCATCCAACTGGCAGCCAGAGAGGCCAGGTCCCCGGTTCCGGGATGGAGCGAAAAAGCAAACGAGTCTTGCAGCTTGACCACCTGGCCTCAGTTGCCTCCGGCGGAAAACGGAATGCTGTTGTTCCTCAGTGAAAAGCAGCTTTATTTCTTTGTGCAAATGAACACTTCAAGTCAGGACAGTCAGTTACAAGCGGGAGAATCTTCCTCACATAAAAAGCGAGGATAGAAAAAATGCTTGAGGTTGTACTCGGCTCGGGCAAGGCAGTAAGCGATGTTCTTGTCGCACTCGCACATGAGTTCCTGGCACTTGTTCTCCGCGGGTCCTGGAAGAAGCGGGGAAACCGAGGTTACAGCAGGGACCTGCAGAAGTGCCAGGGTAAACATCGGGCCAACCCAAAGCTGGGGGCAGGACGGGTCACAAGTTGTATTTGTTGTACTTGACAGTCACCATGTGCTCTTCACCGTCATGACCACAGGCGCGGGTCAACTTTTAGGGAAAAGGAACTTGAAGACCGAGAGCCCAAAGCATACAACCTTTCGGTTTCCCTTCTGTGTCACTGCTGTGGCTCCATTTAGGTAAAGAGACAGTAGGCACCGGGCAACCATCTGGGTTTGTAACGGCTGCTCCGACACTCTTTGATAGTTGTTCTTGCCTAATCTTTTTCTTTTTGAGAGAGGGTCTCACGATGTAGTTCAGGCTGGCCACAGACTTGCTATGTAGCCTAGGCTGCCCTGAAACTTACGGCGATGCTCCTGCCTCAGCCTCCCAAGTGCTGGGATTATAGGCGTGTACCACCACACCCAGTTTGCCTAACCTTTCTGAGGCTGAGTCCTCCCAAAAATGGGGACACTGCAGCAGACGTGGCTCAAAGGTAGACTGTCTGCCTAGCATTCTCGGGGCCCTGGGTTCAATGCCCAACACTGAAAAACAGAAGTTAATAAGCAAAAGGGAAGCATTTTTCACTTTGCGGAGTATTGGGCAGCCTGGGTGAACAGGTTGTGCAAGTGCCCGGCAGGGGCTTAGCGCAGGACACAGCCTCCATCTCCACTGGCTCCCGCCTGCGTTTCTCAGCCCCTTTCCCTGGGTCTCTCCCAGTGCTCCTTTGAGAGAACCAGCACAGGGCCAGAGGCAGTGCAGCGGTAGAGCATTCTCCTAGCATGTACAAGGCCCTGAGTTCCAACCCCAGCACTGCAAGCAAAAAACAGCAGCTCATCTTAGATAACAATCGTGTTCTACTACTCTATAGGAAGCCTCATCTCTGTGGCTTAGATTTTGTAGTCTTCAGATCACATATGTATCACTCGGTGGGCTCAGCAGCACCAGGAGAGGACAGAGTGGTAGGTGAGGGACGCAGGACCCTCTGAGTATCATCCCTCCAAGCCCTGTCACGAGCTGAGCTGATTAAAGGAGTTAACCTGCATGGGAATACGGAGGGCATCCCAAACTCGGTCAGGGCCAAGGCAGCTTCCAGGTTACTAAAATCCCCCTCCCATTCATTTGTTCATTCATTCGTTCCTTTATTTATTTGCAGTGCTACAGCTTGAACCCAGAGCCTCACACCTGCTCATCTGTGTTCTATTATTCAGCTATCCCACTGGTCCCACTCACTTTTAATAATAAGTATTATTAAAGAAATACATTACACTAAAAGTCTATCCCAGTCATAAGTGGAAAACCAAAATCTTATACTATAAGAAACCAATAAAAAATATACCAATAAAAATATACCAACCAATAAAAAATATACCAAAATATACCAACTAATAAAAAATATACCCAATATGGATGTGAGTATGGTGCCTCACATCTCTAACCCCAGTACTCTGGAGAGGTTGAGGCAGGAGGATCGCAAGTTTGAGTCCAATCAAGACAATTTAGTGACTTGGCCAGACTTTGTACCAAAATTTAAAAATTTAAAAAGGGCCAGAGATGTAGTTCAGGCCCTGGATTCAATCTCTAGTATCCCTCCACCCGCTCCCACACACAAAGTATAAAAAATTTCAACAACAGAAACCACAGCCAGGCATGCTGATGCGCGTCTGTTATCTTGGCACATGGGAGGCTGAGGCAGGAGGATCACTGTGAGTTTGAGACCAGCCTGAGCTACATAGTGAGTTTACAGCCAGCCTGAACAACATGGCGAGACATGTCTCCATAAACAACAACAATGAAGACCAGTGAGGATAAAATTCTACAGAATTAAAGCCTAGTGAGATGTGATGCCTCTTATGGGTGGTGAGCCCCAAAATTAGGGTCTTGGTTTAAAAACAAGAAAAAGAAAGACATTAGCAAGCATAAGAGAGAGTTAGCACCTCTAGTACAATGTCACAGTGCAGATACTTCCTCTTGCCTAGTTAAAATTAACACAAAACTGAAAGGAAAGAATCTCACTGCATTGTTAAGCTTCTCCCACTCTTAACAGTAAGGTAAAGGGTAAGGTGAAGCCTCATGCGGGCTTGCAGTGCCAGCACTGGAAGCTTGAGGTACCAGCCTGGGCAGTTTAGTGATTTACCAAGAGCTTGTATCAAAAATAACTTAAAAAATTAAAAGGGGCTGGGGATTTAGCTTGGTGTAAAGACCCTGGGTTCAATCTTCTGCACTGCAAAAACATAAAAATTTTTAAAAATTTAAAAAGGAGCTGGGTACGGCTGTGCACCCTGTAATCCCAGTACTGGGGAGGCTGAAGTGGGAGGATCAGGAGTTTGAGGTCAGTCTGAACTACATAGCAAGACTGTCTCAAAAACAAGAACAACAGCAAAAATAATTCCTATTTTGCTTTTTAAAAAATTAAGTCGATTGGGGCTGGGGATTTAGCTCAGTGGCAAAAAGCGCCTGCCTGGCAAGCGCAAGGTCATGAGTTCGGTTCCCGGTAC